AGAGAGAGAAAGAGAGAGAGTGCAATTTTTAGAGGGGAAAAAGCAGGGGGAACAGTGAATCACTGGGTCCACATGGAGGAGTGCCATCTAGTAAACATGGTGCCAGGACTGCTGATGATTCTAACAGGCCAACAGGCCAGTCACAGACTCAGGAGAGAGAAGCTGAGCCCAACAATAACACCAGTGCTCTCTCTGTTTTATGTTCTTGAAGACCACAGTGGCTGCCTTAGTGACTTGTCACTGATTATAGGTCAGCTAAGAGCATACAGTATCGGCTGGTTTACTACAAGTATATAGACACACAAAACAGAAAGCTAGACATGACAGATGCACCTAGTTCTTACACATCTATCACACCGCTTACGCAAAGTGTAAGTGGTGTAATGAAAATGGTCTGTCTGTAGTGTGTGTGACCCTGGTGTTGTGTCTGTGTGCGTAACAGGGGGTTAATGTGGAGCAGTAACTGAGCCCTGTGCAGTTTGAACACCGCACATACAAGCTGGCATAGAACAATAAACAGCAGATCAGTGGCGTAGGGGAAAAATAAACACTCTGGCTATTAGAGAAGACATAACAGAGAGCCAAACCTAAGAGGGGAAATCTGTGTGTGTGTGTGAGTGTTCCATAGTATCAGCCAATATCAGCCAATGAGAGGGAGGAGGGATTGTAAAATTAAAGGTACAGGAAGTTGTAAATTCTGGTGTAGTCAGTCACACTTCATGGACCAGTACGGAACACAAACACGCCCACTTATCATGCATGACAAATACATTCAACCACACGCAAACAATCATGCATGCTTACCACAAACTTTGATGTTACAGTACTCCCATGGTGTGTTTGGGTCCGTGGTAAAGCACCATGGTCTTTGGCGTCCATCTGGGTTTCTACAATAGTTATCATCCAGGCCTTTGTCAGGGTACCTAATACAAAACATGCAGTATAACAACCTTAGTGTATAGACAAAAGCTATAAAAGAGTGAAAGGCATAGTTCAAAACCCATAGCACAACTCTCTAACTTGAAGCTAAGTAACATGGCACAAAACACTAATTGTAACATCACTCTTAAAGCCCAGAGGTACCAGGCGAGAGAATCATATTTCTATTTTCCTTCTGAATCCTTAGGAGAACAGAGCAGAAGTGGAAAGACAATTCACCATTGCACGCAACAGAAGCATTAATAACTGGAATGGTGCAAGGACTCCATCTGTGAATCTGTTCAGAGCTCAGGGGAGTGAGGAAGATAATAGGCTGCACCACTACAGGTGTTCGACAGTAAGTCATCCCAAAGTCCCACATCCCTCCAGGCCTCCTGCTTCCAGGCGTGCAGCATCAGGCTGTGGGACCCCCTCATTACATTAGTGCTATGAGCAGTCTGGGACCTCATTTACACAAACACTGGGATGATTAAGGATGTGTTAACGAGTCCCCACTAATCCAGACCACCTGCCATCTAACTAGCTGAAACGCTCTCCTGACACAGACGCACACATGCAGAAAGCAGACATGCACACACACACACACATACACAAACAAAGATCATGTAAGGAATACGGATACAGACTAATATATATGACTTCCCTAACATAGGTATAAGCTTATCTCACCGCTGGACATGAGTCTGTTTTGTAATCTATTGAGAGCTTAAAGGAATTTGGGCCAATAAGTGAGAACGAAGAGTTTTCCCAGCATAGCGCTGCTGAAAACATACAATTACACCTTGGATTCTGACAGCATTCCTTCAGCGAAAGGCACACTGGCTGACTCCAAATCACTTAATCTCCTGAGTTTGTCACAAGAACTTACTATATTAACTTATTATTACAGAAAGTATTCTCATGCTTTTTGCTATTAAATTATGTGTACCCATGTGTGTGGGCTTAAGTGTAATTGAGCATGCACAATTATGTGTGATGTTGAGTGACACAGATGCATGTGTGTATAAGACTGTATGTGTGTTACCTTTTGGGGTGGTACAGGTGTTTGTGTGGTTCATCCAGGTCCCAGCGCTGGCATTCCTTTCCACTTTCTGTGTGGTCCATGGGTCCTCTGTAATCTTCCCCATTACAGTTCATACACTCAACTATGCAGCAATGACACAGAGCAACAGCTTAGAGATTCCATTTCAAAACTAAAACAAATCTTGTTGCTACATTGGTATGCTTTTACAATACCACACTTAATCCTTAACCAAAAAAAGAACCTCCAAACAAAGTACAGAATGAAAAAAATTCATGACACTTTTAATAGTATAGTGATGGGTTGACAAAGCAATAAACTTGAACATAGGGGATCATCCACTTTAATACATTTTAGGTCATAATGTTGCCCCAAACTCTTGTATAAATAAATACTGCCTTAAGTTCAGACATTATATGAACCTGCTTAATGTATGGAAACACATAGTATGTGTCACGCTGATCAAGGAAGGATTTCTTTGATGTAGAGAAGGCACCGTTTGTTGCATGGTGAGTAGTACACACTGTTTAGTGTAAACAACAGAGAACATGCAGATTAGAAACAGATGTTTATGAGTCCACTGCTGTCATGACAGAGCACATTTAATACCACTGGCTGGATGCATATGTGTGTTCGCGCACGCCATCTCTGTGTGTATGTTTTCCATTAGGACCGGCTAATTTCTGGAGCAACCCTTCCAGTCATTTTCTTCTGAATGAATGCAGGCTTTCTATCAAAATAAAAAATAATTATCTCTGTCGTGCAACTTGTGATAACCCAGTGGAAGACCATATGTGAGTTGGAGAACAAGGAGGATTCCCATCCTGTCTTATCGACCCACAGCCGGGTTCCTCATTAACTTGATCCAGTGTCATACATGCAGAGGAAACAACCCCTCTGACAGCATGAATCCCCAGGGATTAGATAACAGAGGTCATTATCATCCCTTTCTTCAGGAAGACATCAGTGCCTGACAGTAATATTGTGTGATGTAACATAGAGGCTGAAGCACCGGTGGGAAAGTGTTTTTCTTTCATCACAACCGAATAAATATTCAAATTTTACTTTTACAAACCCATATCTCAAACTCTACAGTTTCTTTCGGTGCCTCAGGGGTGGATAACAAAGCTAACAATTTCTATAGGGTATGGCCGGGGAGTAATATCCTCTAACAATGCAACACCAGCCTCTTTAGGTTCAAACCATTTACAAAACCTGAACCTGATGGAACGAGAGAGGACAGCATAAACTGAACCACACACCTGGAAACAGCTGCAGCTGGCCTCAGTAAATAAAGAAAACCTGTGACCCACACACATATACGCACACAGATGTAGAGTGGAGCACAGTTAGAGCCAGCATTGCTTAGTCCAAGGTGCTATGTGATTGCCCAATTTGCTGCAGCTCATTTCAGACTATCAAGCCTCAATTGGTGAGGCAATTTTGCAACGTGAAATGGGCATTATTTTAAGATGAATATGAAACATATTTTGTATGCGTGTGTTTGTGTGTGTAGCCTACCCTGTGAACACTGTGGTATGCCGCACTCCTGGTGTCTGAGGTGTGGCCTGGGGTCAGTGGTAAAACACCATGGGCCAACAGTGGAATTGTCTGGGTTGCGACAGTAGTTTTCTCTGAGGTCCTTCTTCCTGAACCTCTTAGACATGAATCTGCCAGGAGCAGAACCACAATTACACAAGCAGACATGTGTACCAAGACCATTTGCCAAATAATTCAGCTAGCATGCATAGCAACCTCTTTGAAAAACCAAAGCCATAGTTTCTGTTGTTTTTGTGTTGTTTTTTTGTTTGTTTGTTTTTTATCTCTGGCAGAATGGCACATTTTCTACTCATGCTGCTACTCTGATGGCTGAAACCTGCCTGTCAACATGTCCAGTGAAAGTCAAAAAGGTGGAAACGCCAATCACATGATTTTGTTAATGAGAGAAAACACATTAATATGTAGAAGCAATGAGGCTGGTGAAAACACTGACACATGACTCATATCTTCTACATCAGGCGAGCACATGGTTGTGGTCACCAGTTGCAATGATGAACCTAGTGTGGTCTGTGTCAAGCTGTGTTTTTCCACATTATGATGAAAAGATAGATCTGAAGTAGTCTTTTAGTAGAGTGGGTAATGACAGATACACACATGAGAAGGCATTTGCTGGGCAATCAAAAAATAAGAGAAACCTTTCACTGATAAAAATGCAATTTGTTATTGTGTGCATGTGTGTGCCAGAGTTTCCCATGCCTGTAAGCCAACTGATAAAACATACAAAGCGCCTGGGTTTAATTACCTGTTCTACAGAGACATTAATAGCAGTCTGATAGAGCAGGTTCACAGGAGGTACAAACATACACTGCCCTCTTTGATTCATCTGCTGCAGCGACAACTCACTACAAAGCCTTTCAAAGTCATTTAATACCTCTGAGTAGAGGGGAGTGGAGGAGGAAGGAGGTAGCATGAGGTTAAAAGATAATAAAGGTTTAAGGTCTAAGAAGGTGCTGTGTGTAAGGCTATCTGATGGTTATTAGTATCTGGCATATGATAAACTTTGTCCTTATTTTACTGGTATTTTCTTCTGTGTGTTTTTCCAATATTGCCCTCCATTGACACAAAATATTACAGTGCAAACAAAAATACCATAAATGATGTTAAAAGATAAAATACTACTGTATATCTATTTTCCAAAGAAAAACCTTTGAATATCTTTAATTGGATGTCATGTCATGTCTTTTATTATGAATAGTGTTGTTTTTTCTGCATAGGATAAACGCTGTTATCTTGTTGCTTACCAGGCAATTACCAAAGATCCGTGCTAATTCAATTTTCTTAATCCTATAGAATATATCCGCTTCACTTGCATTTTTTGTTTTTTAAACTTCACTTAATTACTTTTTCTTTTGGGAACTACACTGTATCAGAAAGTATGCCTGCATATTTAAAAATATAGCTTTATCTGGGAATTTAGCTGGGGGATGTATCTACAGCTTAACCAAAGACTGCATATTAGATATGATACAAATCCCAGTAAAACACACACACATGCACACACACACACACACCTAGATAAACAGTTGGGCCACAGCAGGAAATGATCTGTGACACTGTAAACCGTTACAATGAGGTCAGTTCTGATGAATGACTGCTCCCAGGAGCCTAATCAACCCCTAATCCATCATACTCATATACACATATACACATACACACACATACAGACTAGCCCCTAGCTACTAGCTAATTCCATCACAAACAGGCCAACGCCAATAGTAAGAAGCAGCTTTAACACTACTTTGTTTGACATTGTGATGAAAAGTACATTAGCTTCTTACTTGTGTTCATGAGGGATAGGAGAGGCCCAGGCCTGGCACAGGATCCCACTTGCTGTCACCGACCGCCGTCCCCTGTAGCTCTGACCTGTACCCACAATGCACTCCCTCACATAGTCTGAAAATGAGATAGAGAGACAACATGGCAGTAAAACAGAGTGAGTAAGTGGAATGAGCCAACAAACTGATCACAGTGTTGTCTACACAGAGACTGTGCGGATGATGAAGAAAACAGACCGAAAGAGATGTTTAGCTATAATGCTGAGCTTAACAAGGCCGCGACAACGCCAAAAGCAGAATCTGTTTTCCTAATCTTGAGCAAAACATTTGGATCCAGTAAAATAGGCTACACAGCTTGCATGTTCACTGTTGTGGCCAGTCAGAGTCAAGTGGTGTGGGGGTTTCCATCGTTTACACAAACACTGCTTAATGACAGAAAATTAACCATAATATGCTGTGACACAATAAACACGACAATAGTCCTTGCCCTTCCTTCTCTTTCTCTTGAGGCATTACAAAGCTAAAATCACTCAGAAAACAGAGTTACAAAATGATCCTACATATTTTAAAACTAAGGCAATATTGCTGATTGGAAGGTATGTAGAAAGGTTTTTCTGATGAAAATATATGGTGACAGGGGGGATACATCACTAGCAGCTACAGAATAGAGAGAGATGGTGGAGAGAGTACCTTTCTTTTGATAGAGTTGGTAGTTGAAGTCCTGTTGGCTCTGAGTTCCCGATGAGTTCCTGTCGAACGACAGCCACTGGCATTTCCTGTTTTTATGATCGTAGAGGAATGCTCTGGAGAATAAAGCGGAAAGGAAAGAAGGAAGAGAGAAGTACATAACTGGTCAGTTTTAGGCAAAGCATGCAAAGCAGTATGCAAAACGGAGGCCTGCTAAACCACATGGACAACAATGCATTATACCTGTGAAAAGTAAGCAGCTTGAGGAACCACAACTTCACTATCTGTATTGACATTCACATTGTGGGTTACCTTACCTTCTGCTGAAGGGGTAATACCATAAGAGCAGACATACCTGCAGGTGAAGGGGAGTCTTCTGTTGCGGCTGCAAGCTTTGGCACATTTGGCCATACTCAACTTCCGGCTCTTGGTCAGGTGGGAGGAATCAGGAGACACGACAACCAGTCGCATTCCATCAGTCTTCTGGTAGTCCTGGAGTGCATTTCTTCTGCTCTCTAATACACAATTAACGTAAGATGTCTATTACCACTCAGTAGTATTTACATTTTAGAAGTTTTGCTGGCACTCATCTACACTTACTGTAAATCAGAGATATGCCATGCTCAAGGCCACACAAGCTGCTACTGGGGTCACACCACAGACATCCAGGTTTTGTGACAGTATAATAACTAATAACTAATGTACTAGCCACATCATTACAACAAGCCAGTCTGCTGTATATTATGGTTGTTTTTTTGAGTCTGTACTACTTAAATATAAGGAACATTGAATTTAATTTTACTTGGAAGGTGCTATACAAGGTTAATTATTATTAAACATGCACACAAACGCACAAGCAAACTCTTCTCTGTGGTCTGGTAGATAGTGTGAATTATCTGCTAATGAGCCCAGCTAGACAGAGAGAACACTGGGCAACAGCATTACAATGTGTGAATTAGTCTGCTTTAACTGTTATTAATATACAGGACCTAATACGATGTCATTTATCATTGACCAAACAAGGGTAACACACGCACGCACACACACACACACACACACACACACACTGTGAGCCTGTGAAGGGAAACAGTACAGTGTCTGCTGTGTCTGTATGTTGCCTCCGTTGCTGGCAGGTTCTCTACAAAATCAGAGAGCCACTTTAGACAGAAAACTCATGCCACGTTCTCCTTTTTCCTCCACCAACTTATTTCAACACAGAAAAACCTAATTATATTGCATTTCTGGTGGAAAAAGCAGAAAACAGACAGACAGTTGGTGTTTCAGATTCAGTATTTGACTGTTTGAAGATGTGGTTAGCAACCTGAGGATCGCAGAGGACTAGAGGCATCAAATTGGTCCGATCCTCAACTTCATTTCACCGGCTTGGCAGTTTCTCTGCCTGAGTGCCTACGCGCAATGAGCCGCAAAATCGCACTCTGTTAGGACAACAGGATGACTGAACCACTAATTTGATTTTAATATGGGTCATTTTGTGGGACAGTGGGCTACATCTATTCTCTATTTATCATGTATTTAAGTGACACAGTCAGATTATGTAGCATATGTCTCAATGCGTCCCTATGCGCTAATGCGCACTACAACAAGAACTGGGATTTAAAAGCCTCTACTGGATCGTCAATAACTGCAAAAGCATCGTTTTCATCTCTGCCCGTAAACTGGGCATTTCCTCCAGGGCTGGCCAATTTATGAAATCTTCTCATGACTGTGTTCTGACCACTTCACTTCACAATCACTTAACTACTCTTGTTAGGATTAGATGCAAAAAATAACTGATAATTTCACAGTATACAAACATCCTCATACAGTACACTGTGAAGACTACTAGTGCAGAGAGATTGTCGGAATATAGCATACAGCAGTAAAGTTAGATTAATTAAGCCTCTCCTAACTCATGTTTGACAGTCTGTTCTGTACGGAGCGCAAACCAATGCGTTCAGCACCAGCACCAGCGCAGTGGCACACGGCAGGGAGCGACCCGAGCAGTTGTAAATGGTTTAAGCCAAACTTACCAGAACAAGAAATGACGAAGAGTCCGAAGATAAGTTTGTAAATCCACATCGCCGCGACACAAAACAACAGTTTCAGAAACTGGAACTCTGTTTGCTGTGCAGTCGGACTGCAACCAGGAGATGTTGCTTCCACCACTGCACATTTGATGCGTCTCCTCCCTAAGTACTTCCTCGCCTCCCTCCCTCTCTGTGCGTATGTATGACTTTATCTCTCTCTCCCTCTCTCGCCTTTTCTTTCTGTCTTTCTCTCTCTATCCATCCGCACCCCCTTCAATTTTCAATCAGCCCTAAGTGTTCTTTTTTTATTGGCCTGAATGTCAGATGCAAGTGTCCCATGTGTTGATTATGGCAACATCATTTTCATATGTTTATGAATATATGACCTTTATGTCACTGTGTGTGATTGATTGATGTCATTAGGCTATTACCTATTACCCCTATAGGTTTAAATTCAATAACCAAGACCCCCTATTATAAGAGAATATTGCATTATGAGCAGATTGTGGTTATTTCTCTCTTCCTTTCTTTGTTTAACTTTGTTCCCCAACCTTTGTGTCTTCCCATCTGTACCATACACATTTGTGATATATAGGAAACCTTTAATACAGCATGCTATATAAATAGTTATTGGGCCTCTTCAGAATGTAACATAAGTCTTACAGTGGCACTACATGAGAGCTGAGATTCAATATAAAGCATCTGCACACTCAGATTTGTGTATTATCTATTCATTGAGGGGGCCTACTAAATAAATTGATACCAAGGAAACACAATTAGGTTATAACATGCCCTCCTGACAGAGCGCCTTCTAAATCCCTGCGGAAAAAAAACTGAGGACTGTAATAATAAAATAGTTGTATTTATTCAGCAGATTGGGTGTCCATCCCTCTCTCTCACATAGCAGCATCCCACTCAATCATCTTGTGTTTTTTCCACAATCTCCAAGCAGCACAGTGTCCAAAATGAAACAGATATTGGCAGGCACTTGTCAGTGACAGGAAACTCAATGGGGATGTAAAATGGGTAGGGGGGTTGTTTGTGCTACCTCCCCCCCACCCCCAACAACTGGTGTAAGATAAGAAGTGAAGTTACTGGTGGGGGGTGGATGAGGACAAGACATCCCAATCCATCTTCATCTCCTGAGTGTCATCTCTATTTCCAGCGATGACAGCATAAGATAGGAGACGTGACACTTAGCTGGCCTTAGCATTTTCTCTAAACATCTCTGATGCGGCAGAGGAGCACTCCTGTCCTCCAGTGACAGGGCGATGAGGTGCTTAGTAAATAGAAATCACATCAGTTATCACAGTGCAGATTGAGAGTTACTGCATCTTGGGAATTCCCGGTATTTTCTTTAAATTCACACCATGTGCGCAAAACAAAACAAAGGAATAGATGGATAAATATGCAGGGGGAGACAGTCTCCATCTTTATCTTCTCTCTAGTTCAATGAGTAATGCTCCTGCGGCTTCCTGAGAGGACCACAGAGTCATTGGCAATAATAAACAATCAGCCATGAGTCAGATACTTTCACTGGAGCAGAGCACAAGTCTCCAAGTTTCTCTTTCTCTAACCTTCTCTTACAGTATACACATGCAACACAACCACACTGACTGTCTCTGACAGAAAAACATGCATTCAGACTCTTTTTCTTCTGTCTTTCCACTCACATTCACAAACACGCATGCTTATACATAACGAGCAGCAGATGACTGGATAACCTTCACCAGTTTGAGCTTGCAGCAAAAAGCCTTCATCACCACAATCTCATTACTGACTCTCCTAGCAAGAATCCAGTGGGTGTTTTCACTGCGTCTGAGAGCCACAGCTTCTGCTATAAGATGGAAATTAGAGAGACCCAGTAGCCCACTGCTCGCACATATGACTGCCGCCACCATTCAAGACGCCTCACATCTGTGGCTGGTTATTGCCAGAAATTTCATATTTTCATGCAGCTGGCAATGGAGGGAGGAAGTTCAGTGGGAGATGGAGATGATATGGAGAATGAAGAAGTTGATACTGAGAGAGTGTAGATGAAGAGCAAAGTGAGAAAAGTGGATTTACTGTAGCAGGAAGGTACAATGCAGACAGTGTATTGAGGCTGGTCTGTCTAAGTGCATATTTGTGGAGTGTGTGGAGTATTAATAGACTTCCTGCAGATTTGTTTAGAAGTTGTTTGTGCATTGTGTGTCATGTGTTGTGTACTATTATTCTTCAGTGGATGTGTGTGTATGTATGCGAACATATGTGCAAGTTTTCATCTGCAGCAAATTAGTTGGACCTCATTGTGACCTTTAATCGTTCCAGCCTTTCTTCCAGATTTCAGCCATATGACCTTATGTACAAGTGATGGGCTGGAATGGAAAATAAAAAAGAGAAGATGATAGGAATAGGGAATAGACATTGTGACAGTTTGTGCGAGAAAGACAGATAAAGGAAGTGGAAGGGGACTCAGATTGAGGAAGGGCAGAGGTGTCTCAGGTATTTCACTCTAAGGAGAAAAGGAAGACATTTAGGGGTTGTGTTTGTGTGTGTGAGTGTGTGTGTGTGTGTCTGTTGGGGTCAGTGATGACAGTGGTGGGCTTAGAGGCTGTAAACACAGATACTGTGTCAAGAGATACTCCTTTAAACAAACACACACTTCCTGTTGTCAGTGCATGTGATTGTAGTCACTGCTCGTAATTGCGATCTGCTGACAGTTACGGGGAACACAAATAAACTACGTGCACACATAATCTGTCCATACAAGCAGTTTGAATGGCTTCTCGGATAAAACATGTGGGTTAGTTTTTTTTCATTGCAGCTCTGCGGTCTGCCTTCAAGTCACATTTCCATTTCATTTTTCAGACTGCGACAAAAAAGCCAAAGATTGGGTAGCAGACAGAAATGCAAAACTGGTGTTTTAACACATCTTCATTATCATAAACATTAGCAGACTGAGTCACCAACACAGCCCCAGAAATAGCTTTAAAGAGGATCAGAAAACCATAACAAATATAAACCAATCAATATCCCATGGATTTTTCTCTCAGATAATTCACTCTCTAACAGTGAACAGCTGCTTTTATCATCATTGATCACAGAAAGTTGAGAGCAAGGCTTTGCTAATGAGTCATCTTTGATATGGTGAATCATTCCTAATTTAACAAACTTGTCAGGTCTCCAGATGTGTCTTGGAAGTTTTTTTATTTATTTATTTATTTTATTTTTTCTGCTAAATTGATTGTAAAACTTACATAAAAATATTGTGATGTTAGATATCGAGTCTCAAGACACCCTAACCACTTCAATTCAACAAAAAGCACAGTCCTTATTCAGCCTTTTGTCTGTACCTCCTCCTGTGTTTATGGGTGTTGATGTGAACGTTTGAGACAGAACCTTGGAACAATTCATCAACGAAATGGCCTTGCACATTTGTATATCCACACAAACCATAACTGTTTAAATGACACATCCTTTAGCAAGGTACACATGAAGTGTGTCGCACAAGCACATCAACATCCCACACGCACTCTATTGTGCCGGCCCTTTGACAGTAGATGTCAGTCACTCAAAAGTGCACAACACTGAAATAAACTGGAAACACAACTCGGTGGAGTGGGTGGATTCAAAGGTCTGGACCTAGGCAATCATGTTTACATACACAACCTATATAGTAAAGGAAGGACTATTTTGTACTATTGTCTCGCTTTCAGATACAAATGTTTATGCTTGAAACCACCTTCCTGAACACAGTGGCCTATAGTAATATCTATATACTTCCCTTTGTAACCTGTTAATTAGAGCTTGATTAGATTTCAATTAAAATGACTCAAAATAAAATGTACTACAACAACACAAGTACAGTAAAGTGTTTAAACATGTACCACAACAGAAGAATAACTACAGCATGGTAAAATAATGACAAGCTAGGAAACCAAACACTGCCTGAGGACAAGGGGAAAGGGGAGGAGAAGGTATTAAAATAGTGCCTTAACCTGTGTTTCCTCATTTCTCACACATCTGCTAACAGTCAGCTTGTCTTGTCTGCTGCTTACTGCTAATTTACCCCTGCATGACTCACATAGAACTGGAGACACACAGGGGAGGGAGGGTGGTCGGCAAAATTAAAGAACGGAAGGGAAAAAAACTGCTCTGGGGTAGCAGGTACATTTCATCCCACATGTGCCTATGTCAGACCTCATACGTGTAATTAACATGTTGATGGGGAACATGGCGTAGGGCAAGCGGGACAGCAGGCAGCCTGGGTCTTCAGAATCCACCTGAGTGATTCACCAGACACGCACACAGGTAACTTGAAGCATGAAACACACAAAACACATAAACATGCTCTGTGGGGTCTTTAGGAAGCAGCTGCTAAAGCTTTACCACTCCATCACCCCACAACAAAGTTGCCAGACAACACTCATCAAAGTGTCTACAACCACAATCAGGTGACCATGTTTACTCTCTTTCTCTGTTGATCTTGTTTCCATGTACTGTATAACTAATTTTCTCACTTATGTATGGGACATGAAAAAAAAAAAAAAATCAAACAAAAAACATCAAACCCCCATCCTTCCTATTAGTGGACAACCTGCTCTACAGCTGCCCCAATAAATCCAAATGACTTTAGTAGTCCCACAGACCCTTCCCCTAGCTCCACCAGCTGATCAAAGATTTCACTTATGCAGAATATCTCGAAACCTACTTGGTGGACTGGGACAAAATCTACATTCATGGCCGCCAGAGGATGAATATCAAAGACTTTTGTGATCTTCTGACTTTTCATCTCACACCATCATCAGGTCAAAGTAAGTTTCTTAATGCCCCTCCCATTAGCATCTGTTGTACTTTGTGTTTAGTGCTAATTAATAAATGTCAGCATGTTACAAATATGCACCAAAGGTGTACTCTCATGTAAACGTGAAAAATGGTGTAATTGTCTTGAAACTTCAGAGTTTCAAATAAGTATCAACACATACTGGAAGACCTATAACAGATATGTCCCTTGTATCTAGGTAAACACAGTCCCATTGCTAAGTACAAACAAGGCAAGTGACATTTACTTGAATTAAGTCTTGCCTTGTTGTCTTGCCACCAGTCAGTGCTAGATAATCCAATCCGTACTCAAACAAGTCAAAAACAAGTTTTTGTTGTGTGCTCCTCTGTCACTCTTCAGGGAAATAAAATTCTCTTAAAAGTCCAGTGTGTAACATTTAGGAGGATCTATCGGCAGAAATGGAATGTGATATTCATAGGTATGTTTTCATCAGTGTATAATAACCTAAAAATAAGAATTGTTGTTTTCTTGTTACCTTAGAATGAGCCGTTTTTATCTACAGAGGGAGTCTGCCATGTTGAACCTTTTTCATGTTTTTTGTAAGCTTAGTATCTCCTACATGCTTGGAAGGCCGGGCTGCATTCAAATGGTTGCAATCTGCAACTTTGCTGCTTGATGCTACTGAATCCTACACACTGGTGCTTTAAAATGATCCCATTAAGAGAATGACATACACTCTAACACAACTAACCTTGGTGTGTGTGCATGCCCCCCACAAATTTAACACCTCATGTTACCAGTTAATGTATGTTAGGCCCCACTCTAAACACAGAAAATCCATGGAATGGTATGGAATGTGTCCCATTGAGACTGCTCACCTGGACAGAGTTTTCCACTGTTATGCCTGCCAATCACACTGAGCACACACTCAGGCACACGCACAGGATCCTCACAATCTGAGAGAAAGTGAAGAAAAACCAAGGTAGTGAGAACAGACAAGTGTGTGGTTATGTTTATGGGTTTGAAAAAGAATGTGGCATTTCCTGAAAGACCATTCCAAGTCTGCGTTTGGTGTTCTTTCCAATCCTCAGTTTGTCTAACACCATCTTTCTCCTCTCCATTTTGCAAATATATTTTAAGGTTTTCTTTGGCTTATGTTGTTGCCAGGTCAGATGGGTTTTTTTTAAGAACAGGTGCCAAAAAGTTTGAACAATCACAGGAAAATATCTGAAGCATATTTAGGATCCTTTTCTGTGGTTAAGAACTTATTTGACGCTATCTGTATTTCCCTTTTGTGGCAAACAAAGCCCATTAGGAGTTCCATAATGGTTAGCAAAAACATAAGATTTATCTACAAATATGGTTTGATCCAAGTCTGGGGAGAAGATGGAGTTGCACACAGAAAAACACAGTACATGTTCCCATGCTGTCAGTCAGGCAGCAGTCACTGACATTACTGGAGGACTTCAGTGCACAGTAAGGGACTGGTTTAGGTTTTTTACGGGATGTCGCAGCTAAACTACAGAACCTTAGTGACCCTGACGCCCCTGCCCAGCTGTGTTTTATGGTGACGGAAAAAACTGTGACCTCTCTGTTGCTGCTTACAGGAAGTTAGAATTTAGAAAAAAATAAATGTTGCCAATTAAAAATCTTTCTGCTAATGTAAACCACATTATAGTTACCAGATTGAGGGAAGTTTATTCAGACATGGGTTGATTGCCCTGGGGGTGACATGACCTAGAGGCTGCTGAGAGTGTTGGGACTAAATGCTAATGGTACGATCAAAGTGTCACTGAGTTGCAATGCTGTTCCAAAAATAGCATTTGCTTGTAGAACTCTACGTAAATGGATGTTTTACTACTATCAAAATAATGTTAATGAACTTTAGAGGGGTTTACTAATGACGTGCTGATCCTTGCAGATCCAGTCACGGGTCATGTTGTTGATGCAGCATCAATCTCATGTGTCACTTCCTGCAATTAGTGGAACAAACCCAAAAAGCCACTCTCAGACTTTAACTTAAACACCAATGAGTCACATAGATCCAGCTTTGAAGGCTTTAGATTGGGTGAAATGTTCTTTCTTGCGGAACCTAACACTAATACATATGTTGGATCAGCAGGCCAAAAAAAAGCTGATGGGCAGTAAAAAAACATCAAAACTGCGTTCGAAAAGGGACTTTTGGTAAGGAGGTTTAAAAAACCAAACCGTCACTCAAATTAATTGCCTCTATTATATGAGTCATTGTTCTGTTTGACATCACAACAATACCAGAACAACTGCATCAACATCTTGATTGAAACAAACAAGTAAGAATGGAGTTTTTCAATCAGACAAGCTTTAAACAAATCCCAAATTTAATCCAGTTATCTAAACCATCCATCGGAATATAAAACAAGGGTGAACCACAACTGACCATTTTAATCATGCTTTGAATTGTAAATGTGCTCACATTTGCTGTACTGCAAGTACAGTAGATCAAAGTTAATCCAGATAATAATAAAAGATAATACAATTTTCAGTTTCAACACAATATATATTAAATTATATTCTTAAAAAGCAAGAATATGGACTTGTTTTGTTCTTTGGCTTTGATTCTGGACTGCAGCCTTAATTGCATTTCATATCCTCTAGCTCATGGCACATGTCTCATATCACTTTTGACTGTCAACTTTAGGAAAAATAAGAAGTTAGATAAAGAAAGAGAAAAAAGGGAAGCTACTGCATTGACTCAGTTAAGCAGTGATTTGCACAGCACACTGTGGCCCCATATGTCAGCAACAAAGCTGGTAAGTTGTCATAAGTAAAAAGACTGATGTCCAGAACTATAAAAACTTAGACACCCACAAAAATTTGAAAAAAAAA